TTTCCCTAAGATGTGATAAAAACCAAAGTAAATGCCATTTCAAGATTAGCTTTTTCTCTAGTTGAAAGACATTCATATACCATGTACCCATGGATTCTCAGGGAGCCTCATAATAAATCCCCAAATCAGTAGTTTACTTCATATACAGAATTTACCTCTAACTTATGTCTCTTGGTAAGTGTGTTTCTTTCCTACTGATAGCATTATGAATACATCTGGAGACTAAATCTGACCCTTAGCATTCAAATGGTACATAACAAAACACCTGCTGGAAATACAGGAACAATCAAATTTGACTGAAGAACAGTAAAACTATAATAAAACAATTAGAAAGAAAAGATGAAATGCGGAACTGCAGTATGCTGTTATTAAATTGCTTCTATGATCATCACTTAGATGGGTAATTTGTCTAAAAAGCTCAAATATTTATTCTGTATGATTCAAAAGAAAATAAAATCCATTTGGTAAGGCTCAGGATTTCTAAAAGCTCAGATTTGCAAGCATTTCCTAAAAGGTACATGCAAATGAGCTTCACTGTTATTAAACAGTTTTAATGCTAGTTAATGCTAGTTAAGAACTTACTATTGACAACAATTTCTATTGAAATAAAGGGGGATTTGCCATTGACTTCAATGGGAGTAAAGGCTGGTTAGAGAAATTCGCGTAATTCATTTTAAATGATAAACGCTCAGGGGATCCAGGGGAACAAGACTGCAGCAAACCAACTCCCTTAGCATTTACTTCAAATGGGTTCCTTACTCAGGAATATGAAACCCTGAAAATTTACTTTTGTTTCACATTAGAAGCATCAGCAGAGCACAGAATCTGCCCTCATAACTTTTCACTCTAGCCACAAATGGCACCTGTTTGGATCTGTACTGTGATGTAAGGTCTCTCTCTCTCTCACGCACACAAAGGAATCTGCCTATGTTAAATATGTAAGACCAGTACATACAAAGAGTGCATGTGACCTGCCCAGATGATAATTTGTCATTCAAAACAGATAGCCAAAATATGGAAGTAAAAAAATAATTAGCAATTGTGCAGCCATTTCATCTAGCCAATGTTCTGATCCACATTTTAAAGGTGGGAAAAATGAGTCACCAAAAAGCGGAGAACACCATTTTTAAAGGTATTTAGGTCCTCAGCTACCAATGATTTCCCTGTGCTAGATGCCTAAATATCTTTTAAAATCTGGGCCTTATTGACTTGCACAGGGTCACCCACTGTAGACACCATACAGGCAGTATTTCTTCCATAAGAATTGCTGCTTTCCTGGTAGAAATTAAGGGCATACACTAGGGGTGCACCGATAGAGATTTTGGGGGCCAATACTGATCCGATTTCCAATACAGTGTGGAGAGCTGTGTGCAGCTGGTAAAGTCTATTGTGGTGGAAAAGGAGGGGGGAGGGAAGGGGCGTGAGGGGGGCAGATCAATGCCCCCTGCAGTGAGGGAGGGGCTGGGGTAGGCGCTGCCCAGCAGGGGTGGGGCGCAGGATGGAGCTGCAGCTCATCACGGCATGGGGAGGTGGGGTGCGGGGGTGGCGGCTCCAGCCAGTGTGTGCACCCTGGGGGGGGGGGGCCCCTGGATCTGCATGGAGCGCTGTGGGGGGGCGCTGGGCTTGGGGGGGGTGGCTACAGAGGAGGCTGCAGCCACCCCAAACTTCACCGTAGCCCCGCTCCCAGAGCTGCCGCCTCATGCCTGGCATAGCCCCGGATCTTCCCGGCTTAACCCTCACCTCCCACCATGCGCAGGGAAGAGCCTGGGCTGCGCTGGGTGTGCGGCAGTGGCACTGGGAGCAGGGCTATGGCAAAATTTGGGATGGCTGCAGCCTCCTCCATAACCCCTGACAAGAAGAGCCTGGTGCAGCCCTGGCTCCAGACCACCCACCCCACCCCGCACAGATCTGGGGGCACGCCCCCTCCCTTGTCCGAGTCACAGCCCTGTCCCATGCTCTGCCCCACCCTGGCTGGGCATCACCTGCCCCTGCCCCCTCCCTTCCTCACCATAGCAGGGTGTTGATTTGCCCCTGCCCCCACACCCTTTCCTTCCTCTCTCCCTTTCCACCACAACAGCTCTCTATGCTGCGGGGCTGTGCTCCTCATTGCCTGTGTTCTGCGCTGCGGCTGCATGCACACACAGGCATTTATTGGCCAAATTATTGCCCGCATTGGGCCCTTTTCCAATACAGCTACTTTTCTTTATATCGGTACTGATCTGATATTGGACTGATGTGTTGGTGCACCTCTAGCATACACGCTTTCATTCAATTTCTCCCAGGGGAAATATGCATCCCCGGGAAAAAGATCTTCCAGGTCTCCCTTATGAGAGAAACTCTCTCAGACAATGAACGTCTGTACACTCCCCTCCTCAACTGGTTTGGAAAAGACTCCCTGTGCCAGTATGGAGCATGGGTGGGGGGCTTTGCCCCACTGCTGCAATCACTGCCAGAACTCTGGGAGCAGACTACAGCACTTGCTGAAGCTCCCTGCCAACTCCCCAGAATGGGGATCTCTATTACTTTCACTCCACCCAGGCCAGAAGAGACCAGGATCACCCAAGTCTGGGGAAGGCACAAAGAGCAGGGGAGAGGAGGCAGCTGCAGGCTGAACACCTGTACTGCTCCCTCTCTCTCCCAGAAAGAATTTCTGGCTGTGGAAATTTCTCAGAACTTTCCACCACTAGAAACAAACGCCTGTTTGAAGCCTGAGTTAGTGACAGAAGCAGGACTGAAACAGATTTCTAGCTAACCACACAAATCAACCCAATTTTGCACAATTTTCAGTGCCTGAAAAAGAGAGATTATAAAGAAATGTCCCATTTCTGTTATATCTGTTAAGACTCCAAAAACTGCAACACGTCAAACAATACCACTCACTTTGCTGCATCTTCCAAGAACAATCTGCTGTTTCACATGACTAATGACATTGTAAGCAGGGTAACATTTTCAAAAGGGCCTTCGGTACATTAATAGTCTAAACACCATTAGAGTCCCCCTGACTTTCAGCACTACTTGTCACTTTTGAAAATACCAATAAGGCCCCTGGCATATATTTATTTAATGGCATGATGGGATTTGATCCCCAATCCCAAAAATCATGCCTCCAAACACATCACACATTCATGACAGGAGGTGCGATTTTGAGATTAAGGATCAGATCCCAGTTGCATCATTACTACATGTCTGCGTAGGGGGAACCCAGGATCATATCCCTGGGATCCTCCTGCACTGATAACTTGGAAGCTGGGTGCCTGCCTGTGGGGATTTAAAACCCTGTGGTGGGAACCCTGTGGGGCTGCTAAGTGGGGGGGCATAAAAGTCTCCTGGCAGGTTTAAACTCCCCAATGAGGAACGCCTTTTAGTTACCCCTGTTTGCAGCTCTGGTGTGTGGATGTGCCACATGTTCAATAAAGCACCATACAAAACATCCATAAAAATATTCTAGGTTATTTGTGAAACATTTTTATGGCTGGTTCGTCATTGTATAATGCCTTAAACTGGTTGCACGTGCAACATTCAATTGGATGGAGGGTGGGTGCCACCCGAATGGGGGATGCTATTCAGTGCTCATACAGTTGGAAGGTAGTGGGCTGTCCAAAACACTGTCCTGTTCATGCAGTGGGGGATCTCAGGTGCCTACCCTTGTAGTGTATGGCTAGTGTGACGTGTGACCCCTGACTGTGGGAAACTGGACAGCCCTGATCTGGACCACAGAAGTTTCATATGCCAGATAACATCTTAAAGCATGATTCACTATCAAGAATGTGCATAATTCATATTGAACTATGATGGTGGAAAAAGCCAGCTAAATTAAAGGAGATGTCTCCAATTTGATATATTTTCTGATTCCCACAACAGAAAAGAAAAAGGATAATTTCTTGGGCTAAGACAGAATAGTCTACTTCCTTAAAAGAAATGATACCAAGAATGAAATACACAGAGGGCATGGTATTACAGAATGAGATGCATCTAAAAAAAGTTGAAGAACAAAACTAAGTATTAGTGTCAAAACATCAGAGTAAACAAAAATACCTCATGAAAAATAATTTTAAACAATTATTAAAATAAACTAATATATGAAAGGCAACAAGTGTACATACACACAACATTTTGAGAACAATCATTTTTCAAAGTTAGCTTTAAAATTAATTTTTTAATCAAATTTTGGTAATTGCTCATTGAATAAGTTTGCAATACACCAAAACTGCTGCTCAAGAAAGTCACATAAGCACATAGCAAAGTTCAATAGAATTGCTGAGGTATTGTTTCTTAGACTGAAAAACAAAAGCTCTGGATTAACATGAGCAGGTTCTCTAGTTCTCAAAACGTTCAGTGACCGATGTGCTAAAAACTGGCATTAACAATAGTCAAGCTCAAATAATTTTTTGTAAATGCTTTAATTAGATAGGTGCAGGTCTTAGGAAATCACAATCACATAATTCAACTGAGGTAGTATTCTACATGGGTAGATAATTGCCTGCTAATAAGCAATAACAGTTTGCAATGTGTAATCCTTTGCACTAACGCAGCTCTCTCTATCAGAGAACCTCACTGTGCTTTATGTTAGTGTTCAGTGCTGTCCTCATGGAGGAAAAATGCACATATACTTTTATTTTGGATAATATCTAGAGACAAAGTCTCCTGTGGGAGTGCAGATCTGATTAGTTTCCCATTAGATTTTTAAAAAAAAATTTTTGGTGACAGATCAAGACGTTCAGTCAGGCTCTTCGCAGCTCTTTTCCATAGCCTTATCTTCTTTGTTAGTGCCAGTTGTTCAAAATTATGCAAATGAGAAATGAAAATGGAAGGTGCTAACCAGTTGTTGCCTGTGATTTCCTGTGCCCATGCTCATTCACTTCCTCTTCTGCACTGGTAGAGTATTGTCTTGAGATTCTTTTGCCTCCACTGGCTGGCTTCTCACAGTCAAGATCTGTATCTCTTTTGTTATAATCTCCTGTTTGCTCTAGCAGGGAAAATGGATTAATGTTTATCCCCTAAACCTTACATATAAGCCATATAAGGAAGGTAACGGTTAATTATAAGATAATTTTACTCATCTACCCCATGTAACCAATCACTCAGACTATAATATACTATGTATCTGATGTTTGCTTGAACTGCATGTGTTGATATTACAGAATTCTGCAGCCAATGTTCGGGAAATATAATGAAAAGAGGTGTGTTCTGAGATTGTTCCAAACAGCACAGTTACATTCATTAACATAAGGATGATTTATAATCAAGCTCCAGTCTAATTTCTACTTTCCTTCCTCAGTGGATAAAATCATGTTACCAGCACTTCAGGCAGATTTGCAGTGATTTACCAGTTGAAGGAACAGGCTGAGCAGGCTAGTTACAAAGAGGCAGAAAAAGAAACAGCCAGGAGCAATTGGGAAGAACAAGTATGGTACCAGCAGTAAAGGAAAAAAGATGACTTGATTAAGAATCCTGGCTACCCCCCTCCTCCCAAAAACAAACAAAAACTGGGAAGTATTATTTATTACATTCCCTAGATAAATGGAACTTAACTTGCTAATTTCTAGTCTACCTCCTGAGGCAGATGCAGCATTGTCATAGGGACCGGAAAATCCTATTTTTGCAATTATAAACTATTTTTAACTGTTTTCTCAGCGTGTAATAGCAGCAAACTGCCTGCTAGTTCAGAGCTTCTATGGAATGAAGATCTGAGAGAGCACATCACCCTTCATCAGCCACATTTTGTATGCAGTGAACAAATTTTAAAACGGGCAGATCATCCTATTAATGTGTGCAATCATCAGCTATAAAAACTTGCCAGCTCTCTTAAGAAAACAAAACTTTACTTCAATATTTGCAATTGTGTGGGCATTCCCCATTACAGAAATAAGTAAATATCAGGGTAACTTTATCTATTCATATAAAACAAAGCTGCTAAGAACTGCAAGAAAGGTTGCTGAATCTCTCACTTTCTGTTTTTGTTTTCTCCATATGGATGTAATCCAAGGTTGAGGTCAGTGACACCAAGTGACTTCATGAGTCTATTCTAAGGCTATCAAATTGGTCAGCCTGAAGCTTGTTCTTCTGGGGAAGTAGCATCTTACAGCTGCCTGGAGCTACACATTATAGGTAGCAGGATTCCACCCCCAGCACCTTCTGTCTCCCTATCACACCCTACTGGTGGTGGAAGGCTTTGCATAAGGACAGAGTATGCTGACTTGATGAATATTTGTCACATGCCTTGGAATGTGGTATCCTATTGCTAATTTTATAGGTAGTAAAGGGGTCTCTGTTGCACACTGATGAGAAACTGGCCAAAAAAATGCAGGTTAGTATTTATCAGAAATTTATGCATCAAGTCTGGATTTATCAGGAAGTAATGCAGCGTCTCTACCTTGACATGCCAGGAAGACTTATGTTCATAATTTCAGGATTATAGATTTTAGAGACCCGGATCCCATGCCTCAAATCCAGCCAAGCTGTTTCAGGACCCAATGGGGTTTGGGCTGCGAGAGAACTTGGCTCTTTCAGCAGGGACCCCTTAAACCCTGATACTTGAGAAATAGGAAGACATCATTGCAGGGCTATAATTAAGTAGGCAGCCACGCTGGGGCCAGCCACACGGCAATAGGCAGCCAGGGAAACCCACAAAGGGTTAAAAGAGCAGCAAGGGAGGAGGCAGTGGAGGCAGCTCAGGCCTTAACCATAACACCTGAGAGCTGGGTAAGGGCTTAGCCACTGACCTGGAAGGGCAGAGCCCCAGCCTATTAAAAGCCTGGCTCCTGAGCCAGAACGGGTAGTCTGGCCATGACTGCTACTGAGAACCGAACTCCTGCAGGCCTGGGGTGCAACAGGGGCAACCCAGTATCTGGGGAAGCTGCAAGCTACTGGGTGGAAGTTTGCCAGGACCCCAGGGAGACCCAGAAGGGGTTATGAGTGATCTGTAGCTGGCTGAGAACTGGAGGACCGGGTGTGACTGATAGGGGTGGTAAGGAGGCTACAGGGGTGCCTGAGGGGCACCAGCATAAAGCCCTACAAGGGTCAGGGGCCCAGGGGCTGTAGCAGGGAGAAGGCAGCCTCGCTTGGGCCAGGAGCACCATGGGGGCTGGCCTGAACTGTGAGCGGCCTTGCCCTGGGCCTGGGATGCCAGGAGGCTGGAACAGACCGTGAGCAGCCTCGTCTGGGCTAGGGGCACCAAGGGGCTAGGACAATGCGAGACAGGGCCTGGGGCCTAGAGAATGAAGTAAAGGCAAGTGCTGAGGCTGAGAAACCCGGTCCATGACAAATGGAGCAGGGCTGGAGGCCTGCAGCCAGAATAATGATGGGCTAATGCCAAGGGGTCTGAGACTCCTACAGAGGTAAAATAACATCTGCGAGGCATGGGTGTTGCTGAAAGAGGAGACAAGAGGCCACAAATTTAGCCCTTGAGGCAATTATGGCCAGGGGAGTCAGAGTCCCAAGGCCAAAGGACTGTAGGTGTCAAGGTTGGCGTCTCAAGGCCAAGGGACTGTAGGCAGCCAGGCCAGAACATAAATTAAGAGAGCCAAGGTGAACTGGGGAGAACTGAGTATTGAAAGCACCCAAAGTTCCCCAGCCTCTGAGGGAAGCCTTTCCTCACTATCTTTAACATGAAGGCATGGCAGGTGGGGCAGCAGGGCAAGACCCTGAGGGGCTGGAGTGAGAGCAGGGCAAGACAAAGGCAGCCATTAGAGGGTGTCATGACTGCTCGAGGCACGTCCTCTTACAGCTCTATATTAGTTTTGCAATCCCTCCACTTCTAAAGCTTCACAGAGCTAGTTTGGCTCTGGCGCAAGTTACTGCTGTCCCCTTCGCAGCTCTTATGCTAGTCAGGTATTGCTGCAGCAGAGCATCCCCTGCACAAACCCTTCAGCACACACCTAAAACAGAAGCAGCTCATAGTGGGAACTATGCCAGCTTTGCACAACTCAAGGACTCTTCAGCTGCTCCATTAGCAGAATGCAATGATTTCTCTTCTTGACAGTATCATCTTTAGTTCACAAGTCACCAAAGCTATGATTTTCTACAAAAAACAATATCTGAACAACCTGGATGATACTGCAGCCCATGAGAAATGGAGGGGAGAGGTAATTTTAAAGCTACCTTTGTGCCCTTCTAGGGCTGCAGCCAGCCCTGGCTTAAATTACAAAGCCCTGGAGGCATATAATATGGCAGCTTACCTGTGTGACAGCACTGCTTGCTTTTTCCTTATATCCCCAAACCCTCTCTCTCAGGTGTTGTGTGTCTGTCCTTTGAAGAAAACTGGATTCTCTTCTCTTCCCTATATGGAACTAAGACTTCACATTTTGCAGCGGGAGCCAGAGCAGGCATGAGTCTCACCCACTGACTTTTACCCAGTTTCAAACTCTCTGGCTTGATAACCTCAGTGAAGATATTGCAAGTTAGGTTCAACTTACTGTACACAGCTGGGTTTCTAGAAGTCTCTTCTCCCTGTATTCCCAACCCTAAGAAATCTACTTCTTCAAAATACAAGCCCAGGAGACATAAAATGCACCAGTAGGGTAGAAATTCCAAGTGTGTGTGAAGAAAGGCAATGAGAATAAAGAAGCTTATTGTATGTTCTTGTCTATGCAACCCAAAATATAGAGCATGAGTGTGATACAAAGTTTGTACAGTGCAATGATCCCAGAAGACAGGAACAGAGTTACAAGGCAAACTGGAATAAGCTGGCCAAAAGAATAAATTTCACCCTCTTCCCTACCAGATGGCCAAGGCAGCTGCATTTAGCCTTTTTTTGTCACCAGTGCGTATCAACAGCCTGCTTTTAATTGAACAAAATATAATGGAAATGATACCACTGCCCATTAATGTTTATCTGGTAATGGTTTCAGTGACAGTACTACATTACATTATTATTGACAGTGGATGTATATATGTTTGAACAACCAACATGAACCAAAGGCTGCTGATCTCTGACTTACCACACACCCTTTTCTTGCTCTCTACCCTGAGTAAAAAGAAACTACCTCCATCCCAGAAAAGGCAACGTAGAAATCTGGAAATTATGAATAGCTGATTTTTAAAAAGCAGCATTAGTACGGTTTATGCCAGGAGAAGGACTGTGGAACATTGTTTATATTGACGGTCTTACCTTCTTGAGAGAGGGATCTGATTGTGGGCTGGGGGCTGCTCTGACCATCTTTTTCTTTATCAGAAGTAATTTTCTTTAGCACAGGTGGAAGCAGAGCAACTTTAGGGGAACCTGGGCCAGATGGAGACTCTGGGAGGTCTTCTGTGGATACACCAGCACACACACAGATACAGTCTTGCTAAATTGCTTCCAAGAATACTACCCAGGCAGCAGGCACATGTAATGCATAATTTAAAAAGAGCACAATGTGCAACTAACAACACTATGGATACATTCAATGTCTTGGCTATGCTAGAATTTTTAGCAAGCAAAAAAAGTAATTCAGGAATTTTTACAAGTTTAAGAGAACACATGATCATACTCATCAGTTTTGTAAGAATTTTGTTAGATTAAAGATTTTTAAAAATGGAGGTATAAATTAGTTGAGCTAATATACAGTTATTACTTGTTTGACTGTAGCTGTTATTATCATGTAAACCGTACTTCTATTGTGCTGACCTACACCTGCAGCACATATAAATATGTGATGAGACCAACACAATTTGCAGTCAGGCTATACAGAAAAGGAAACAGAATTAAGAAAGAAAGGTTAAAGAAAATGCCAGGGGCATGGACCACGGTGGTCAAGGGCCCTAAGGCCCGCTGCACCAAGGCCCCTGTCCCGCCAGAGCTGAGCAACAGCTATGCACCTCTTGCCGCTCCAGCAGAGCCTGCTGAGTTGCCGGCTCCCGCAGGCAACATAGACCCAGCTGCAGCTCCCACCCCTGCTCTCCCCAAGACAAAACGTAGGGTGTTTGTTGTGGGAGACTCTCTACTGAGGGGGACTGAGGGGGCAATCTGCCACTCCGACCCCTTAGCCTGGGAAGTCTGCTGCTTCCCGGGGGCCCACATCCGGGACATTGCGGAGAGGATCCCAGAGCTCCTCAAACCCACAGACCACTATCCAACGCTCCTAATTCATGTGGGCACCAATGACATGGCTCAGAGCACTCCCAGCCAGGTCATGAGGCGCTACAGGGATTTGGGAGCGGGGCTAAAGGGTCTGGGGGCACAGGTGGTGTTCTCGTCGATCCTCCCAGTCTCAGGCTATGGGCCAAGGAGGGAGAGGAGGATCCACGTGGTCAACCAAAGACTGCGGCGCTGGTGTCGTCGGGAAGGCTTTGGCTTTCATGACCACAGCC